ACATATATATGCGAGCTTATATGGGTTACAGTGATTGTCCTTTAAGCGGAACAAGGACACTTTAAAACTTAAAAAAGTATAAAACCAACATTTATGATTTTATAATAATAATTTCACGACCTTAGGGGTATCCTTGTTATTTTTTAAGGTAATGCGATTGTTAGTATTCATTGTTTTATTTTAAGCAATTTAATTTAATTTTTGCTGTTTGATTTTTGATTTCTCGTTTTAAAAGGATATTTTATTACTTTAACATATAACACTAAATACTATAGTATTGTGATCTTATATTAGTTTATAGTTTAACTTGATTTCTTGCAAAGCTGTGTCCTTCTGTATTAAATTAAATTTCCTCTTCGCCAGTCATTGCTGTACCATAATTTTTTGCACTGACTGTTGCTGCTGCTCGAGTGCTGATTTAGTTCAATTTATATGAGCCGAGTGCAACCGGCAAAGCCAAAGGGTTAGGGTCCTTTGGGTGACGGCTGACACAGGACACACGTATTTGCTTAGTTTATTTTAAATGCCATTTAAGCTGCTGCTCTCGACTAATACCCCAATGACATATTTTAATGTCCGCCCAGCCACATTCGAGTGTCGTAATTCTTAATTCGAGTGCTCTTTCCACTTTTTCCCCTCACATGTGTGTGTGTGTGTGCGCAAGGACTTCTTGCTGTTTGTGTCATTTGATTTATGGGCTTTAAATTTGCCAGAAATTTTCCATTTCTGGCGAGGGAGATTTGTCTGCAATATGCACGGTACTGCTCTTAATTAATAGCATTACTTTAATGGAAAGTTGTCAACAGCATTTTACAAGGAGGGCTTAACTTCGAAGGTATTTCACTCGCATTAATTCGATGTCATCCCTGCTCATAAAAGGCAACCACTGCGAAATGGAGGGGCGACAGAAATTAAAATTGCAGCAAAATACCGAAACAAAGGCGCGCGCTCGAGGAAGCAATTCATTTATTTAATGTTTCCTGCATTTTATTGTCGTCCAAAGTGAATTTACGACAGCGAAGGCGCCGACAAAACAAAACCAAACTCGCGGAAATGTTTAGTGTGTATTCTTTGAGTGAAAAAAGGGGCTTTTTGCGGTACCGATATAGACAAAGGCGAGCACCTGACAAAGCATTTCGATTGCGAATTCTGCCGCACTGCAGGGGACTCGCAAATATGGAAATCATTTGCCTCTGGTCTGGAGGTGCTCGTTTCCTGTCCACTGAACTTGCATTCCCCATCCCCATCCCCACTCACAATCACATTCACATTCGCATTCGCATAATGCCCGAAGCTCCCTGCTCAAGATTTTAATGCTCCACACACATGGCAAGGCAATGAAATGAAAGTACATTTCCCATTTAGAAAGAGAAGTTGCCGTTCTCAAAGAGCTTTAACTTTACTTTTGTCTAAAGGAGCACTGAGGAAAAAATAGTATCAATAAGTATATTTTCCAGAAATCAATTGAAGTAATAAGATCAAGTAATAATATGGTACTTAATCATGTCCCACAATTTAAAGCTACTACTTCAAGTTATCTTAAAATGTGGCAGGACTTTTTTCGATGTGCATTCACCCAATGAATTTTCGTCTCATTGGGGACTTAGTATAGCTCTCTGTTTGCCAATTACGCAATGAGTGCGTGATGCGCCGTATATATATACGCATACTATAAAGCTGGAGCTAATGAATGCATCTGGCGAATTAAGCAGAGCTCCCTTTGAGAACTCTGCAATTACAGGGACGGCTGCCCCGGGGCGAGTGCAACTTAAGAAGGCCGGGACACGATGATAATATTTTGCTAACCCCAAAGAGGCTATGCAACACAATTTCCCTAATGCAAATTGCCGACTTATTAGGCCGAGACCCAAACCCAAACCCATTGTGCGACCCATATAAGCCGAGGCATTGCCACTTGAGCACGCAGCCGTGCAAAGTGCCAACTGGCTAACACACACAACCACACACACACACACAGAAGGCCTACGAGGACTTAAGTGCTTATTAACTTCCGCACACTTGAAGGCACAATTATGAAATCGTCAATTTAAACCAGACTCGCAACAAACACGCACCGGGGTCATTTGGGATGGGCCCCATCGGGAGTCCGGCATAAACACCTCCGTGTCTTTGGGCTCGAGCAAATACACGAATCGTGACGCACACCACGGCGTATGAGTAATAACTCTAGACAAGCGGAAAATTAATACCACTTGAGGCAATGACATGTCAATGCCGCACACACACACACAAACACTCCCAGCGAAAGGTGTAATTTGTCTCCCATTCTCCCTATTCATTCTTACAAGCCACTGTCTGTGTGTGTTTTCGGCTGCTCAATGACCCACGCAGCCATTTCGCTCAGCCAAAATGTCCGAAATCTGTGTGTTTACTACCATATTAGTTTGCCTCTCGGCCGAAACGAAGCCCCAGACACAAGTGGCCTGGATAAGCAGAGCGACTTAATTAAATTCTGTCGCAGGTGGCAGGTGGAAATGGAAAACAAATAAACCTTAGTCGGAATTCAGACAATAGGCTTTAACGTTTATACTGGCAAAGTACCTATCACTCATGAGAAGATCAATGATAAGCAATTGCTTTCGGCTTATAAATATATATTATATAAATAAATGTACATATAACATACATAAAGAAAACATCATAAAGAAAAAATTCGAAAAATTAAACACAGATTCTTAGAGGAATATATACATATAGACGTCCAATCGGTGCGCTTTTTAAACTTAATCTGCGTACACGTATTTTAGGACGACTGTGAAAGTTTCAGATCGCTAGCTTTTAAACTCAGCTCGCAAACGGTATTGAAACAGACGGACACACGACTTCCCTATTGATCCTGATCAAGAATATATATACTTTAGGGGGTCGGAAACGTCTCCTTCACTGCGTTACAAACCAAAATTATAATACCCTCTGCAAAAATATACAAATTAAAAACGTGGAGAAAGCGCGAAGCTGCCACCGGAATTTTGGCTGCAAAAAATGCATATCGCACAGCAAAATAAATGATTTTTTAAACCCAAACACCAGGCCAACAGACATCAGCAGTAGGTATCCAACGTTTGGTTTTTTCGATTATCCTAGAGATGTACGCGTGCCTATTTATTTCGGAGCGCCAACAACAAACACAAGGGGAGATCGTGTTTTCTCGTGCTTTTCGTGCCAAACTCGTGAGACGCACAAAGAAACAACGTGGTTGCCCATCTCTAGGCTGCGCTTGGCTTAGAGCCAACGGTTCTATTCCAGTGATATTTCATGATGGCCGACTTGTAGGGCAGCCATCATGATAAAACAGCTGATCGTTCATCACTTGCTTAGGGCGCTGGCTACTTGCTGTGGATTTCTGTTCGCTTAGTACTTAAAAATGGGAAGTTGCCCAGTTTGCATGAGAAAAAATTGATTTGGCCGGTCCATTTGGACGGGCAAATTTAGATTTATCGGTTTGCAACACCAAGCGAACATAAAAATGAGTAGGTATCCAAATTTCAGTTTTCTGCGTTAAGCAGGGGCGTAGTCAGAATTTTGTCAAGGGGGTCTTAAATCGCCATTTGGGGACGTTTGGCCCCCAAACCCCTGCTCACGCTGACTACGCCCCTGTGTGCTGGAATACAAGTAACGGTTAATTTTAGTAAAATGGAAGCTGCGTTCTTATTGGCTGTCCAATCAGAATCGGTTGTGTAGCGGCCATCATAGAAAAAACAGCTGATCGCACAACACTTGTTTAGAGCGCTGGCTACTTGCTGTGCATTTATGTTCGCTTAGTACTTTAAAATGGGAAGATGCCCATTTTACATGCGAAAAATTTAGTTTGGCCGGTCCAATTTGACGAACAATCGGTTATCGGCTTATCGGGTTGCAACACCGCACGAAAATAAAAATTAGTGGAAAACTAATTTCAGTTTTCTGCGCTAACCAGCAAAGTTACAACAAAAAATTTATTTTTAAATACATGTTTTGTTTGTTTAATTGCCAAAATAGGGAAAAATGCACCTCAATTTTCGGTTTTTTGATCAAAACCCCTGAAAATAATGGTCAGATCTTGGAATGTCATACCTCGTTGAATTTGTTACAAAATTTCCAATCCAATGGTGTTCTCAGCTAAATAAATTTATTTTTGCCCAATTTTCGCAAAAAATCAAGTGTTACCCCTTTTAAAAAATGCAAAAATTGCTCAAATAATAAATTTTACCAAATCAACCTGGAATTTATTGTGCTGCACAACACAATCATTTTGAGATATGCCACTTTATAATCGGTTGTCTGTAAGAAAAGTTATGAACTTAGAAAGGCAGTTTTTTGGCACTTTTCAGCAAAGCCATTATTCGAAAAATTGGAATTCCGTCATTAAAATGACGGAAAATCGACCCCAAAATACAAAACAAACTGAAAACGCAGGTTTTTAGAGAATTAAACCAGGATTATTTACAAATATGCCACTTTGAAATCGGATGTCTGTAAGAAAAGTTATGGGCAGAAGTGCAAGTTTTGGCCAGTTTTCTGAAAAGCCATTTTTTGAAAAGGGGTTAGCTCATAAAAAGGACCAAAAAATCGACACAAAAATAAAAACCAAAGTAAAAACACAGATTTTTAGAGAATGCAAACACAATCATTCCACTTTCTAATTAGTTTTTTATCACTTTTTTTCCAAGCAACTTTTCATAAGATCTGTGTTTTCTGTTTCTGCTGAAATCCATGACCACTGCTTTAAATTGCTGTTTTAAACTTCTTCGCATAACCATCTAGTCTAAAGAAAAATAAAAGTAATCTGGAGAAAAGCCAAATAAAATAAGGCATGGATCGATGCGACTCCCATCAATTAACACCCAATGCTTTTCCGTTTCAATACGGAGAAAGTCAGTCTGGCTCTCGGTGACAAAGGAAACTGGCACAAAAGTCATCATCATCGTGGCCGAAGTCAAACAAAGCAGCATTGATGGATTCGCTTTTAATAAAATATTAAAACAGGCGGGCGTACTCACCACCCCCTCGCCGATGTGGTGGACGGTGCAGGGAACGTGGGCGGTGGCCCCGATCTGGGTGGTGACCACCGTCGAGTTCTCGGTGCCGAAGTACATGGGCGTGCCGAAGAGGGTCTCCACGCCGCCCTCGATGCCGTTGGTGGCCTCCAGGTGGTTCTCCGCGGGCTCCGGCCGATGGATCGGGATGGGATAGGGCCCGGCCGTATCTTTGGCCTGGATCCGGGAGTGGGAGTGCGTCTGGAGCGGCGGCTCCTGCAGGTGAGTAGGCGTGGGCTGGCCCTGGCCCTGGCCATCGATCACGTTGGTCGAGTCGAAGCTGGTGATGCTGCTGCCCCCGCCCCCGCCTCCGCCTCCGGATGCGGCACTTTGGGCGTACGGCAGTGGCACGGGCACCGGCTCGCCCTCCTTCGCCTGTGACATAATTAAATTTTGATTTATATGCCTCACTGACGACGGCGTCGCCATGGTGGAGGCCTCCGATTTTCCTCCGGCTCCCTCCTCCGCCGATGCCGTGTGGTCTGTAAGGGGCAGAGGAAAAAGATGGAGTGACATTTTAAAATGTGTTAATATATGCGCTGTCCGCTGGCGCCGCAACAGTTTGTCGGATAAACAATAACAGCGTGAAGTCAATTAATTTGAATGAGCACCAAGCGCGTGCGTATACGTAATATTTTACAACGGATTTTCATTAGCTGGGCCCCAGCGAATCTGCATAAAGTGACAGAACTAATTAAGCCCCCGACTTTGTCAAGCTTTTGTGGAGTTTGATTGCCCAAACAAATTCCGGCAGGCCTTCAAGAAAAAAAATCAAGGTAATGAAATGGGTAATTTTATAAAAAAAATGTTTAGCTCTCCATTTGAATTAAAATAAACCATACAAACATTTCTAAAATGTAAAGATATCGCAATGATTTAAGTCTACACCCCAGGTGCTCTGTATGTATCATCATGGATTTCCTTTTCCTTTTATTTAGTCATCGTTCTGTGCCCACTGACACAACCACATCTGAAACACCCGGAGATACACCCGCAAAACAGCGACCACAGTACATATTACCCATTTCGGTTTGGTTTTATTCGAGCTGCGTAATTTGTGTAAAATTCGTTGGTGCAACAGAATAATATTTCACAATTAAATATAATTGCTTTTGGCAAACATGCTTGGGTCTTGTTTAGCAGCGGCAATTAGGCTGAATTTGCCAGGCTGTAAATTCAATTATGCCAATGCATTTGGCTCGTTTTTGATTTTGATTTCTTGGCCACAAATGCTGGTGAAAATTTTGATGTTTGGTTTTCATTTGGCCAGGCCCAGTGTCCGTGGAGACCTGTTTGTCATTGTCCAGGGTTCACACCGTAAATATTTTATGCCAATCATCGGAAATTTATTGTGTTTGGCATGACGTTGATTGAATTTACAGACCGACCGAGTGGCCAAGGCGCCTACATTGAGTGCATTGAATAATGCAAAATTAATTAGTTATGGAATTCGCCTGAGGCTCGTTTGCACTAGAGTTGCCACTTAATTAGCACGTTGCTAAGACGCCAGATATGCCATTAATCGAAATAGTGAAAGGCATTTCAATGGAATCTCTCACTCTCTGGGCCAAAAAGGAATGTTCCTTAAGTCCACTCCACAGAGGTTTGAAAATCAATTTACCCAGCTGTGACACATGCGAACAATCGAGTCAATCAATGCAGCTTCTTCTGATTGACACCTTAGAATTCGCTCGATTGCTCCTCGAATTGAGGTGCTAGAGTGTGTTGCCACAGCAATTTGCAACTGCAGCCGCACAACAGCAGAATTCCTGATCCTGCAGGTCAGCCAGCTTTCGCAGTTCGCATTTTGCACTTTGCGGTTTTTCTATTGTTGTGACCCCAGCCTTATGAATGCGAAGAAGATTCCCAGGAGCTGATACACTGAGAACAACGCTATGAATTGCCCCTAAAAACAACGCTTTATTAACAAAAGAAATTATTGGCATTTAAAATGTATCTGTAGAATGTTTTATAATAGAATAAAGTAACTACATCTCAAAACTTTTCTAACAGACTTGGACTTACATACATATGCATATAAATTCTATTAAAGCAAGTACTTTAATAACTTTTATTATATACATTTTTGACTCTACATATGTACCCAAATTTTTTTTCTGGTAGTAATTTCTCTGAGTGCATTAACTGTCAGGACTTTTCGTCCTGCACGCACAAAACAAACAAATAACCAGCTCGGGACAGTGCGATTGCTATCGCTGCTGCTCCTGTTGTTGCTGCTGCGACTGTTGCTGCTGCTGTCTTTCATGTTGCTGCTGCTGTCTCTGTTGCTGTTGCTGTTGCTGCTGCTGCTGCTCATTGGCACGCACGACTCGCCCAAAACTGAATCGTGGCATTTTCGTCACGTTCGCACGTGACTGACTCCTTGCGACATGCAGCTTTTCCTCGCAGTTTCCCAGTTTTCCGCCCTCCATCTACTACATACGTAAACGTAATCGTAATGGTCGCCGGCGGACCGCAAAACAGCTTCTGAACTAGTTGCCAGTTGTTGGTGCTGCTGCGGTGGTCGACTGCCGACTTTGCCCCACTTTCTGCCGTGTAAATTTGCATTCTTTCGATGGCTTGTGCGACTTTGTAATTGAATTTTTACGGCGAGTTGTTGCCCTGCATCCGGTTGGCTGTTCGTATTTTTCTTGTTTCCGGCGGTTGCGCTTTGGATTTACAATCGCTCCGCATTGTGCAACCGCTGCTAGCTGCGCATTGTCAACAGCAAAGAGATTCGCTGCCCCAAAACCCAAGCCCAATCCGAATCCGAATACCAATACCAAACCCAAGCTGAAAACCCAAACCCTGGAACCGCAAACATGTTGCACCAGAGCCATACAGATAGAACAACATTTTTGGTGGGATTTGGCAACTTTTCGTTTTGCGAAACATTCACAATTTGTGTGTGCGCTCGCTAAAGTTTCATGCGCCGCTTTCCCCACTTTCCCCGCTTCTGGCTTTCAATGTTTGCTACGACATTTTAATCAAAAGTTCGCTGCAAGTTGTGTGATTCCCGCCCCCTCAGCCCCCCTTAGCCCCCTTAGCCCCTATAAGACCATCCTGCAACCCCGCTGCTCAACTAATATCAATGATTTCTCATGTGCTCGTGTCGACGCCCCACTGTGGCAGTGCCGGAATATTTATGCTGCTTGTGACATCATGACTTGACATTAATTAAGTTTCCTTGCGCACACACGGCGTATGCGTGATGCCAAATGAACGAGATCCAAATTTCACAAGTGAATTTTAAATCACAATTGATAGGGTTAAGAAATCCAAGGACAAAGTGCGTTAAAAACTTTGAAAACTATAAGAAAATAAAATCCATTTGCAGCAGCAAAAAGTATACATTTAAATGGTGTTTAGTTGATTCTGAGTTCAGAAGAAATCCTTAAAACAAAAAAACAAAAATAATTGGAATGTCGTCCAAATGCTTAATAGCAAGCATTTCAAATTTTATAATCCCACTTTTTGAAATATCTACCAAAGGTATTTTATTTTATTAAGGAATTTGGCTATGGATTTAAATTTAATGAAATATTTATTTCGCACCAACTCTTTAGAATTTCTAAAATTTCCTGCATTGGTTTTAAATTTAATTTAAAAGCAGCCCGAATGGCAAATCGACCTTGTGATTGCAAATGCGTTTTTTAATCGTTTCAATGTCTCTGCGTTGTCATCAATTAAATTAAAGGCTGCTAAAAACATTTGCAAATATCATTATGATAATTGTGCGGGCTGGCAACATCCTGTGTAGGACTCATTAATTTCATTTGATTTCATATTTAATGTACGTACATTGTGTGCATAAATTTCTCTAATTAAAACACAAATAAATGGAGAATACATTTCCGATGGTCCCCACTCTGCAGCATAATTTATTCCATTTGGATCTAACTAAATTTGCGGTGGCAGTTATTTACAACAATTGACACAAATGCGGGCCAACTTTTTATGGCCATCGAGTGCACGGGGACAATTGACCATAAAGCATCGACGCTTGCAGCCAGCGGATGGAAAAGTTTTAATTAAATATATGGCCAGGCTCGGAAATTTAACAATTAGAAGCTTGCAGCCAAGGCCAGCTTCAATATTTTTGTGAACATTTTAAAGTAAACTCCAACTTTGGCGAGGCAAGGAAGTTTCGGCTCCTGCTTCATTACAAAACTTTTCCGTTTGCGGATGGCTCGGCGCTTTCTGTTTTTATGGCAAATATTGTTTGTTGCCACTGTCGAAATGTTTGCATTTGACACTTGGCGGTAATTTGTGTGTAAATGCGTCAACTGGCCCCTGACCTCAAGCCCGGGGCTGCAAAAGATTGCCCTGTTCCCCGAAACTTTTCCCCCCCAACCCCTCTCGCGCAGCCATTTAATTGAAATTCTGGAAAATGGCCCACGCATGCCTGCTTTGTAACTTTGCAACTTCTGGCCAAAGTTGATCGTTTCGGCCAAACGATTCACTTTGCGACTGTCATAATTTTGATGGTCGCAAGTGTAAAATCAGATAAGTGCGCCACACACTTGCCGCCGACTATTCCCCCCCATTTATTTTCGAATAAAGCCCCCGACAGGGGCGTGGCAATCATTAATGTCGCGGATCCAGGACGAAGGAGCACTAACGCAGAGCGCGAGACTCTCGTAAAAAGGCATTAAGAGCAAAAGTAAAGTGCCTATTTAAGTTGAGTCATAAAATTGGCTTTCTATCTGGCCGAAAAGCGCAAAGCGAAAAGGGAATGGCAGATGGCAAGCGAAGAAATAGGGAATGAAGCAGCCATTTTGGGGGAGTCTCCAGTCCCCGACATTCTAATTTTATTTATTTTATTTCAATTCGTGTCTAAGTGCTCAAGTTGGGGTTTTCTTTGTGGCGCAATATGCTCCGACTCACCCCATAAACTGCCAAGTTTTAAATAGTTGCTGCTAGATGGGGCCTATTTGCAGAGTTTTGGGATTTTGAGGAGGGCTCCTGTTGTCAGGCACTGATGAATCCCTCAAAGTATCTATATTTAGCCGCCCTTCATGCCCCAATAAATAATGGCACATCTGCCTGCTAAATGTGTATACACGCACAACGGATTCATAAATTATGACAGCAAAATAAATAAGGTACCAATTCGCCTCGGCGGCTTTTGTATGAGTATCTGCCAAATCCCAGATCCAAAGCCAAGTGAAATCAAACGGAAAGGCGGCAAACGAGGAAGAATTTATACAAAAGAGCATAAGTTAAGTGCGGAGTGCCGGGGAATGTTTTTGTGCATAATGAAGATTTATATGTTGAAGAGGGGCCGACATTAGGGGGATTTGCCCAATTGCAAGCACGTGCGAATTAGAATGGGAATGCGGTTAGCTTTTAAGCCAAGAATCCACGGCTGGGTGGGCACTTTGAATAGTCGAACCTTTGGCCCTCCAATAAATGTTTAGTATCTGGCGGCGGCGGGAATGTGGCGAGTACATAAAATTAAATTGTCAACTTCCGTAATGCG